TGGGAATGGGGCTCTTCCGGCCGGGAATTCTCGTGGATATCCTCCCCTGGAGCCACTTCCCTTTGCTTCCCCAGGAGATAATCCCGTTTTTAGGGTTATTGTGCCCCATCCTTGCTCCTTCTTCCCTGGGAAGGAACATCCTGGGGTGAAGGGGAATTCAAATCCCAAATCCCGGCTCTGTGAGTTCATTTCGGAGCTGGGAAAAGCCGTGGATGAGGATGGGATCCCAACCCAGGGGCTTGGGAATGGTGCTGGAAAACCCTCCCCATCCTTTCATTCCCTGCTCCCGGTTTATCCTGGAGCAAAATCCCAGGACAGGAAGATGACACAGAGAATTAGAGCCAGGAATCCCACTTTCCCATTTTATTCCGGAATCCCTGGGCTTGACCTTGTCCCGCTGCATCCCTGGGAGCTTTCCCAAGTTTTCCTGTCCCTTTGTTTTGTCCCAGGAGGATAAAAACCTGGTGCACGGGAACGTGTGTGCCAAGAACATCCTGCTGGCCAGGAAAGGGCTGGAAGACGGATCCGCTCCCTTCGTGAAGCTCAGTGATCCCGGGATCAGCTTCACGGTGCTCTCCCGGGAAGGTACGGGATCATCCCGGCCCAGAGCTGGGCAGGGATGGAATTCCCAGCGGAAAATCCGGCCGGTTTTTCCCCCCTTCCCTCACAAATCCCACGGATTTTGCCAGAGCTGTTTCGCCAAAGTCTTCCCTACTTTCCCAACATAAATTTTCCCAGCATTTGGCATTTTGGATGTGGGAATTCTGTGGGAATTCCGTCTGGTTTTGGCTCAAACCCGCCCTCAGGGCTCATCCCCCCCTCAGTGTCCGGCTTCTCTCCGAGACCTTTCCCCACAGGATCTCTCCCGTTCCCCACAGAGCGCGTGGACCGGATTCCCTGGATCGCCCCGGAATGCGTCCGGGATGTGGGAAACCTCAGCACGGCCGCCGACAAGTGGAGCTTTGGGACGACCCTGCTGGAAATCTGCTTTGACGCCGACGTCCCACTGAAGGAACGGACCCCTTCCGAGGTGCTGGTCCTGCCATTTTGGGCCCTATCCCGCCATTTTGGGACATATCCCCCTACTTTGGGCCATATCCCGCCATTTTGGGACATATCCCCCTACTTTGGGCCATATCCCGCCATTTTAGGCCTTATCCCGCCATTTTGGGCCATATCCCATCTTTTTGGGCTGTATCCCCCCAATTTGGGCCGTGTCCCCCTACTTTGACCTGTATCCCACCATTTTAGGCCCTATCCCGCCATTTTAGGCCCTGTCCCACCATTTTGGGCTGTATCCCACCATTTTAGGCTCTATCCCACCATTTTAGGCCGTATCCCACATTTCGGGCCATATCCTGCCATTTTAGGCCATATCCCACCATTTTGGGCCGTATCCCGCCATTTTGAGCCGTCTCCCGGTCCGAGGCCGTCTCTGAGGGCCGTTTTTCCCGTTTTTCCCACAGAAGGAGCGTTTCTACGAGAAGCGGCTGCGGCTCCCGGAGCCGTCGGGGCCGGAATTGGCCTCGCTCATCTCTCAGTGCCTCCATTACACCCCCGGGGAACGACCCTCCTTCCGAACCATCCTCAGGGACCTCACCCAGCTCCAGCCACACAGTGAGGGATGGGAATGGAGGGGATTGCCTGGGAAAAGGGGGGGGGTTTGCTTGGGAAAAGGGGATGGGATTGCCCGGGAAAAGGGGTGGGATCGCCTGGGAAAAGGGGAGGGAGATTGTCTGGGAAAGGGAGGGGAATTGCCTGGGAAAAGGGGGGGGATTGCCTGGAAAAGGGGGGGGGGAATTGCCTGGGAAAAGGGGGGTGGGATCACCTGGGAAAAGGGAGTTGGGATTGCCCGGGAAAGGAAGGGGAGATTGCCTGGGAAAAGAGGGGTTGGATTGCCTGGGAAAAGGTGGATACGGGTTCTGGACGGGGCGAGGGGGAGGTGGGAGAGAGGGAAAGGGGAAAAGGGGAGGAAAAGGGAAGAGAGGAGGTAAAAAAAAAGGGAAAGGGGGAAAGAAAAGTGTGGGAAAAGAGGGAAAAGAAAAAGAGGGCAAAAAAAGGGGGAAATAAAGGGAAAAAAAGAGAAATTCGTCGTTTCCTCCCAGACCTCATGGACGTGACGTCGGTGAATCCCGACTTCCCGGTGTCGGATCCCACCATCTTCCAGAAGCGGTACCTGAAGAAAATCCGGGAGCTGGGGGAGGTCAGTGGCGCCCTGAGATTCCCACCGGGAATTCTGGACCTTCTTTCCCTGTCTGGATCCACAATTCCACCCTTCAGTCTCTTTTCCCTGCGGATTTCCCTGCCTGGATCCAAAATTCCATTGTGCAATCCCTCACTGCCCTCTTGTTAACACCCGATTCTGACCTTCAATCCCTAATTCCACCCTTCAATCCCTAATTCCACTCTTTAATCCCTGATTCCACCCTTCAATCCCTAATTCCACCCCTCACCCTCCTTTCCCTCCGAATCCCCCCCCCTCCATCTCCCACCTTCCTGGACCCCTCCAGGCACAGGGACCCCCTTCAAACCTCCCCTCTTCCCTTCCCAAATCCCGAATTCCCTCCTCTCCCCGCTCCAGGGGCACTTTGGGAAGGTGGGGCTCTACTGCTACGACCCCACCAACGACGGCACCGGGGAGATGGTGGCCGTGAAATCCCTGAAATCCGGGAGCAGCCCCGAGCTCCTGAGCAGCTGGAAGAGGGAAATCCAGATCCTCAAGACCCTCTACCACGAGAACATCGTCAAGTACAAGGGCTGCTGCAGCGAGCAGGGTGAGAATTCCAGGCGGGAATTTTCCGGGATCGGGTCCGCGGGAAGGTTAAAAACCCCAGTTCCCGGTGGTTTTTGGCTGGGAATTGTTGTCCTGGTGGGAATTTGGGGTCCTGCTCTCCCCACGAGGGTCCCACTGCTCTGTTCCAGGGGACAAGGTGGTGCAGCTGATCATGGAATACGTCCCCCTCGGGAGCCTCCGGGAATTCCTTCCCAAGCACCCCCTGAGCCTCTCCCACATCCTGCTCTTCGCCCGCCAGATCTGCGAGGTGGGAATCCCAAAAACCGGGGCTGCTTCCCAAAAACTAGGGCTGCTTCCCAAAAACTGGGGCTGGGCCATCCCAAAAACGGGGGTGATTCCCAAGGAAATGAGGGTGGGAATCCCAAAAATGGGGCTGGTTCCCAAAAACTGAGGCTGGGCCATCCCAAAAATGGGGGTGATCCCCCAAAAAATGGGGGCAATCCCCAAAAAAACGGGGGTTCTAAATCCCTCCCAAAACTGGTTCTAACCTTCTCAAAATATCTCTGAACCCCCCCAAAATGTCTTGAAACAACCCAAAACTGGTTCTGACCCCCCCCAAACTGGTTCTGATCCCCCCAAATGACTCCAGACCCTCCCAGAAATGCCCCTAAATCCCCCCAAAACTGGTTCTAGTATCTCTGAACACCCCTAAAAATGTCTCAAAACACCCCAAAACTGGTTCTGACCCCCCCAAACTGGTTCTGAACCCCCTCAAATGGCTCCAAACCCTCCCAGAAATGCCCCTAAATCCCCCCAGAGCTGGTTCTAACCCCCCCAAAACTGGTTCTAACCCTTTTCCCCCCCAGGGCATGTCCTACCTGCATTCCCTGCACTACATCCACCGGGATTTGGCGGCCAGGAACGTTCTGCTGGAGAACGAGCACGTGGTGAAGATCGGGGACTTCGGGCTGGCCAAGGCCGTCCCCGAGGGCCACGAGTACTACCGGGTGCGGGAGGACGGGGACAGCCCCGTGTTCTGGTGAGATCCGGGGGCTGGGAATGATCCTGGGGGCTCCCAGGGGCGTTCCAGAGGCTCTGGAATTCCCGGCGTTCCAGGTACGCCCCGGAGTGTCTCAAGGAGTCCAAGTTCTACTACTCGTCCGACGTTTGGTCCTTCGGGGTGACCCTCTACGAGCTCCTGACCCGCTGCGACCCCGGGAACAGCCCCCCCGTGGTGAGGGATGGGGAATTCCTGGGAAATCCGGCTCATGGAGGGGGGGGAGGCTCCGGGTTTGGGGTCTCCAAGTTTGGGGGGTCACCGGGATTGGGGTCTCCAGGGTTGGGATGGTCAAGGTTTGGTGTGTCCGAGGTGGGTTCCCAAGGTTTTTGGGTGTTCCTAAGGTTGGGATACTCGAGGTTTGGTGTGTCCGGGATTTCTGGGGATTCCCAAGGGTGGGATGCTCAAAGTTTGGGGTCTCCAAGGTTGGGGGGTCCCCGGGATTGGGGTCTCCAAGGTTGGGATCCTCAAGGTTTGGTGTGTCCAAGGTGGGGGTTCCTGAGGTTGGGATACTCAAGGTTTGGGGATTCCCAAGGTCAGGGGTCCCCGGGATTGGGGTCTCCAAGGATCTTGGTGGCTGAGGTGGGATTTCAGTGGGTTTTTTTTCCCTGGCAGAAATTCCTGGAGCTGATCGGAGCCACCCAAGGGCAGATGACGGTGCTGAGGCTGATTGAGCTCCTGGAGAGAGGGAAGAGGCTCCCGATCCCGAAGGATTGTCCGTGTGAGGTGGGAAAGGGAGGGAAGGGGAGGGAAAGAGGGAATGGAGAGGGAAGGGGAAGAGTGAGAGAGGAGAGAGGGAAAAATAGGGAAGAGAAAAATGGGGAAGGAAAGGGGAAAGGAGAAAAACAGGAAGGAGGAAAAGTGGGAAAGAGGAAAAGAGGGGAGAGGGAAAAGAGAAAAGTGGGAAGGGAAGAGGGAAATTGGGAAGGGCTTCACATTCCTGCGGGGAAGAGGAGGGAGGGGAGAATTGGGGGTCCTTTTCCAGGGTATTTCCCTGTTTTCCACCCCTGTTTTCCCCCAGATTTACCGGCTGATGAAGAACTGCTGGGAAGCAGAAGCTTCTTTCCGCCCCTCCTTCCACAACCTCATCCCAATCCTCAGGAACTTCCAGGAAAAATACCGGGCTCAGGCCCCCTCCGTCTTCAACCTCTGCTGAGACCCCCCAAAATTCCACGGACCAGGGGGAAAACGTCCCCTAAAACTCCATGGACTGGGGGGAGACCCCTCCCAAAAAAATGGGGGGTGGAAGGACACCCCTGAAAATTCCATGGAAGGGGAAGGACATAAAAAAAAATTCATGGATGAGGGGAAAGACACTCAACAAATTCCATGGACTGGGGAAGAACACCCCAAAAAATGCCCTGGATGGGGCAAAACACCCCCAAAAAAATTCCATGGATTGAGAGAACACCCCAAAAAATTCCATGGAGAGGTGGAGACACCCTAAAAATTCCATGGATGGGGGAAAGAACCCAAAAAATTCCATGGAGGGGGGGAAACACCCCTGGAGGGGGACACATGGACTCTGGATTCCCGTTTTCCTGGCAGGATGAGGAAATTCCGGGATTTCCTGTGGAGACGGAGCAGCACCGAGGAGGGGGGATCCTCCCCCTCGAAAAATTCCAGATGTTTTCCCCCCAAATTCCAAACACTGTGAATGAGACTGTGGGGACGAGGATTTTTGGGAGAAGGACGTGGATTTATGGGCGTGATTTATGGATTTATGGAATTCTGGCCTTATTCCCAACCCCAATTTTAGGGGAGGGTCATTTTTCGGGATGGGGGAGGCTGGATCTCCTTCTTTCCCACCAGGAATTTGGGGCCCCCTCCCAAAAAATGGGGGTTCAGCAAAAAAAAAAAAAGTGGCACTTTATCAGGATTTTGGGGGGTCTCAAGACCCCCCCTTTGCCTTGGAAGGGTTTGGGGGGGGCCCAAAATTCCCTCCTCAAATTCCCTGTTATTTATTGTTTGTTCTGTGTCTCCCCCACCCCGGATTTGGGGGGAATTTGGGCATCCTGGGGAATCCCCCGGGATTTGGGGTCCCGGGTTTGGGACTCTCTGGATTTAGGGGGTTCTGGGGGGAACCACCCCGGGATTTGGGGAGGGAGGGGGTTGGATTTGGGGGTCCTGGGGAGGCCTCCTGGGATTTGGGGTCTTGGATTTGGGACTCCCAGGATTTGGGGGGAGTGGGATGGGATTTGGGGGGAGGAGCTGGAGGGACCCCTCAGGATTTGAGGGAATACTGTGGGATTTGGGGGTTCAGCCTCCACCGCTGCCTTAACCTCCCCCTTCCCAAATAAAGGATGGAAAAGCCCCCCCCGGTCTCTCTGCTCTGGAAATGGGGGGAGATTTTGGGGTCCCTATTTGGGGGTATTTTGGGGTCTCTTTGGGGTGTTTTGGGATTCCCTTGGGGGGGGATTTTGGGATATTTGGGTGAATATTTTGGGGTCCCTTTGGGATATTTTTGGGCCCTTTGGGTAGTATTTTGGGGTCTATTTGGGGTATTTCAGGATATTTTGGGGGTATTTTTGAGGTCTCTCAGGTATTTTGGGGTCCCTTTAGGGATATTTTGGGTCCCTGTGATGGGTATTCTTGGGCCCCTGTGGGGGCTTTTTGGGGTTTTTTTTGGAGTCCCTTTAGGGGTGTTTTGGGGGTATTTCGGGATATTTTGGGTCCATGTGGGGGAGTCAAAAGTCGCGCCTCCCTCCCCGTTCCACCCAACCAACCAATCACATTCCTTCACGTTCACCCTCATCTCGCCCCACCCAATCACCACCTCGGACACAAA